CCTCGGTTTTATAAACCCCAAACTGGCGTTTTAATAAAAGCAACACAACCGTTTGAAAGACTCAATCTTGATTTTAAAGGACCGCTACCAAGTAAAACAAGGAACAGATATATATTAACGGTTATCGGCGAATATTCACGGTTTCCTTTTGCCTTCCCTTGTTCAGACATATCGGGTGCTGCAATTATACAATGCCTCTGCTCACTGTTCGCCATCTTTGGAGCCCCTGCCTATGTACATTCGGACCGAGGGGCTTTTTTCATGTCAGAGCAGCTTCGGCAATTTCTACAGGAACGAGGAGAAGCTAAAGTCGGACAACTCCCTACAACCCTAAGGGTAACGGCCAATGCGAAGATATAACGGCATTATTTGGAAGACCGTTCAATTGGCTGCCTCAAATAACGGATGTACAATTGATAATTGGGAAAATCTCCTTCCTGTCGCATTATACGCCATTCGTTCCCCTTGTGTACCGCCACGAATGCCACCCCACACGAAAGGTTTTCTACCTTTTCAGTGACGGAGTTCAGCAGGAGCTTCGCTTCCATCTTGGCCTTCTCGACCCGGTACTGTGTTTCTGAGACGACATGCACGTTACACCAAGAACGATCCCTTGGTGGACGAGGTAGAGCTTATAGAGGTGAACCCTCAGTATGCACTAGTACGACATGCAGATGGTAGAGAGTCTAATGTGTCTCTCAGGGACCTAGCACTGGCCGGAGACGTACCGGACCGTGGATAGCCCCTGAGGACAGACCAACTACCCCCTGACACTGAAGCCCCTCCGAAGATCATGGCACTGAAATTGTTCCTGACACGCCGCCTGACGACACTGTCTCCTTCGCAGGCCCCGTCAGACACTTCGGATGGGCCAACACCTGAAACCCTGACAGATGAAGGGCTAGCACCGAATAAACGTGTTCATCCAGAGACTGACTCTGACGCGGAACGGCCTGCTCCTCTGAGAAGGAAACATTTCGAGCAAGGTATTTTAGAGCCCACAGACAGGCTCAGCACTGAAGAGCCTCCCTGTTCGAAAGTACTCCGACCACAAATCATGGACTGCTGAGGCGGCCACTGTGAACTCGTAGGGAGCCTGGACATTTAAGGGACTTTCTTTCCTATCAGTGAGAAATTTGGTGGGGAGAATGTTGTGAATATGGATTATCTCCTCTTAGATAATCCAAGCTATAAAAGCTGTATAGTTCCGCTGTCAAGTCAGATGAGTAGTAGTATTCTTAATTGAATAAACGATTACTAGACAGAATCTCTTGTCCTGTTTTCATTACAAAGAGACCCTTGCATCTAGCTAGTTCAACAGTAAAATAACAAGACCTAATTGTCAATCTAGTAGCATGCTCAAATTCATGCAGTCGAGGCACAAAGAGGAAAAAAGCTGATCAGAACAGTTGCCATGGAAATATTTGTAGAAAAGACAGAGAGAAGCCATGTCACATTGGTGAGAAAGTGACTGGATTAAAGATGCCAGGTTAGGATTGATTAAATTACAGACCCTTTTTTGAATTTTGTCAATCTCAAGATATACAGCAGGAGCACCAGATCAGATATAGCAGCAGTAATCAATGCATAGATGAATGGTAGATTTATAAATGTGCAAGATGGATTCTGACAAGAAAAAATTGTGAACAGTGAATCAAGTTTCCTAGCATTAGACATAGCAGTTGATTTAATATTTTTCCTCCATTTCATATCAATGCAAAATTTGAGCTCAAGAAGACACACAGTACATTTCTGTTGCTTAAAGGCTCTTCTTCATCTGTGATGAGATTGTCCAGCATTTACTGGCATATAGCAAAACTGATATTCAGTACACATTTTTTGTTTCTAACAAATTTTTTCTGTTTTTTAATACTTTGCTTACCTTTAAAGAATTGTAAATAAAGAGATATTCATCAGTATATAAACTCATATAATTACAAATGCACAGATTTTGTTTAACTATCACTTATCAAGCCTCTCTTGAGGATTAATACCCACACTCAAATTTGGATTATTGTAAAGAAGGCTGTATTTTCCTCATTCTAGCTCTCTGTCATGCCATGTAATTAAAATAGATAGCAACAAACTGACTGACAATATGACAGAGAATAGGGACATTTGGGCTCAAGCCTTTCTGTGGGTATATTCTTACAGAAATTGACATTGTTTTATAGATTTTATTATATCATATTCTAACCATAAGGACAGTTTGCACTTCCTATTCCAAGGAATATACCTATATGAAATGTAGGTATTATCTTTATTACAAGAAAAAAATTTTCTCCACATGTTATTAAATATTTCCCACATGATATCATTTAGTTACACCAGTTCAGGTCTTTTCTGCTAGGACATGCCATACTAATTCCACAGAGTTTACTCACCCTCATTTCCCCCTGTATTCCAAGTGTAAGTATAAAGTTCCCCTCAGGCTGCTTTTTTCCAGGAACTGCTACTTTGTGGAACAGACACCTGCATGGATGCTTCACTACAATTTTAACCTCTTCAAGTCAATGATCAATCAATATCTATCCCTCCTATCCTCATAATCTTCACTACCATATTGTTTTTGGTATGGTGATAAAACTACATCTGGCAAAAAGACCTTTAATTGGAAGATTTTGTTGGATGTGGAACCACCTCTTAATTGCTGTTGTTCCCAGGTCCACCCTGACCTGGGGTGGTAGCACCTGTTAGGGTCCAAACTATGGGCAAATAGTAAACTCCCAAACTGGGGTCAAAACACTATGAAAGTATGAAAATTTTATAGTAAAAGTACTAGCAATTCATTTTTGCAACAAAAGAAAAACATACAACAATACATTTCTGTAAATGAAACTACTAATGTCCCCAAGAAAATTAAATTTTGGCATTAAATAATCCAGAAGGAGTTGATATGCTGCTAAACAAATGAACAAAAAAAAACAAAACAAACAAACTTCCTACCATCACTTATTTCCCTCATATCACACCACATTCATCATAACCCCGTCCTATATATGACAAGAAACTACATCCATGTCCTGGGTAAGGCAATAAACTACATCTGACAGCAATGCCTCTGACCAGGAGGTTTTGAGGATTGTGGAACCATCTCTTAATTCCTGGTGTTCCCAAGTCCACCCTAACCTGTGCTGGTAGCACCTGTTAGGGTCCCAGATATAGGCTAATAGTTAACCCCCAAACTGGGGTCAAAACGTGTAAAAATAGGTTTTAATACAGCAATACATTTTTGTAAAAAAAATTATTACCAGCAATATTTTTTGGAAAAAATATTACCAGCAATACATTTTTTTTAAAAAAATATTAGCAGTAATATATTTTTGGAAAAAAATATTACCAGAAATACGTTTTGAAAAAAAATATTACCAGCAATAAAAATCTTGTTGGCATTAAATAACTCATTGAAATTGATATGCCATAAAACAAACCAAACCAAAGAATCATAACCGTTTTAACAGTAACCTTCTATCTTGAGTGGTTCTTGAGCCTTGTAATGAATGAGCTTTAGTATAAAAAAGAAAATGATAAAATCCCTTTCATGTTAGCCATTCCCTGCAAATAGTCATACAAACAGATATATGCATATATAAAATGTCTATACATATAGGTGCATGTACATAGATATATGAGAGTGGATTAATAAGTCCATAGCCTGACACATTATTAGTGGAATTTTGAGCTGAAATTTTCTATGTAATATTCAGCATTGAATTAAGTGCATTGGAAAGGAAGATTAGGTAGAAATATAAATATTGTTTATAATAAATGCTTTCTTCATCATTAGGCTACAGACCTTTTGTGATATGTATATAAATACATTGGTATATACACACTCTAGTATGATATGATGCACACACAATTGCTAAAAAGATGCATAATATACATACATACATATACATGTACACACAACAAGAAATGATTTACCTACATACAAACATAGGCATTGTCACAATTATACGTGAATATTGAAGTGTCCACACACAAATATTCACATTTATGTACTGAGAAAGGAAAAGGAATATAAGAAAGAGAACAAAGAAAAGACAAGAAAGGAACAGATAGAAAATAAAGATGAGAAAGATCAAGAAAAGAAGAAAAATGAAAGGAAAAATAAAGAAAAAATGAATGAAAGAGAAAAAGAAGTTAAATATAATTGTGAGAGAAAGGAAAGTTGTAAAAAAAAAAAGGGGAGGGTAAAGAAATGAGTAAAATAAAAGAGGGAGAGACAAGAAAAGGAAAGTACTAAAAAAAAAATAAAGACATGAGAAAGTGAAAAAGAAAAAAAAATAGAAAAAAACTTTTGTCCTGAACCTGTTTAACTGGTTTTAAATTCTTCTTCCATACCACCTTTTATTTCAGTGTTTGCTTGCTTGGTTGATCTGCTGGGGATTACCTCAATATACTCTGTGGAAGCTCTATAACACAGACGCTACTTTTGATAGCGAATGCCTAAAATACGAAGACATACAACTGAAAAATTTCCTCTCAACCCACAACAAAAAAACAAAGAGAAGGAAGGAAAAGTGATAGAGATAGTAGCTTCAAATAACCAATGACAATTAAGGAAACAACTGGTTCTGCCTCAATTTTCAGGTATGTTTAGCCGCTCGGTCTACACGGTATCAAATCAAATACAGTCACAACCTCAAGCCAGGGTTCAGAGTGAAAACACAGAAAAGAGTACAGTGTTTATGTCTACAGCCAAAGACAAGGACAGAGATATGGGAGAATCAACAAGTCCCTGGGTAGCAGAATGGGGAAGCTCATCAGTACTCTTGAAAGAGTTTCATATAAAACATGAAGTCCCTAATCTTGTAAAAGTTACCAAAGGTCATTATATGAATATTGGGTTAAATCGATTTGCATTACAGAAAACACATCAACAACTTTACCTTCATTCTATTAGGAGTTGTATAAAGGTTCTCTCCCATAGTGTACAGAAATTAACAGATGGACTCGGGGTTGGAGGTCGAAAGTTCCGTATGTCTACAAGCAAAATGTTATCTTTGGAACAGAGACTCTCCATTCCAATCACTTACCAGGGATGGTTTGAGGTTCTTTCAGAAGATGGAAAGGGAAACAAACCAATAGAATCGGTGCAGGAACTTGCAAAACTATTCCCTGAGAAATGCTTGGTACGGCAGGATGTCTTGACTTACTGTGCAAATGATGATGGTAAACTCAGTAGAGTTGTGACAAAGGTAAGAAAAAAGTAAACGATTCAAAAACTAGAGAGAAAAGCAAAAAAAATGAAAACCTTTTAATGCTCACAGAAATACTGAAAGAATTTCAGATGTAATTTATAATTTTAAAAACCAGATAAGTTTGATAATAAGTATCTATTTTCTAAATTAATGATTTTGCAATAATTAGGACACTTAGTTCCCATGCAGAAATATAAATAAGTAGTCTACCTTATTTTTAAGTGATTTAATTCTTGTCTTTTCATGCATTTTCATTTAGCTTTTTGTCTATTTATTATAAGATTTTATCTACCTATATCAATCTGTTCATTAGCTATCTCTCTCTGTCTCTCAATCTGTTCATTATCTATCTCTCTCTGTCTCTCGGTCTGTTCATTATCTATCTCTCTCTGTCTCTCAATCTGTTCATTAGCTATCTCTCTCTGTCTCTCGGTCTGTTCATTATCTATCTTTACATATCTCTCTGTTCATTATCTATCATTATATGCCATTATATCATGTATGTCATTATTATTAGTGTATTTTCATTTGTTTGTAAGGTAATATAGCAAGGTGAGAATTTGATATTTATTTTAGTTAAATATTGTAAACAGAAAATGCGTGTGTGTGTGTGTATATATATATATATATATATATATATATATATATATATATATATATATATATATTTATATAACTTTATACAAATTTGGTTAATGTCCAACCAAAGTTCTTTGTTAAAAAATTTTTATTTATTTTTTTTCTATATTTTAAATTTTCCTATATTTCAGACTATTTAAAAAAAAATTCCATAACTTTGATTGTTCTTTAAATATGCATAAATGAAAACTTACAGACCAAATATAAGTACATATATATATATATATATATATATATATATATATATATATATATATATTGCATTAAAATCTGCTTTAAATATTCATTAAAAACTTATCAAACCTACTGGATGAAGTACTTTTTTACTGAAAGTGAGTAACGTCAACACTCATTCCAAATTTTCATAGAGCAAACTTTCCAGGTCTTTTTCAACAGAGCATGTTTATTTAATTCAGTCATATTTTTTCCACTGTACATACAAGAATGAATATGTATTATATCACCACAAACTCACTACCTTTTAATAATAGAGTTAACTTGATTGGCTTCTTCTGTGCGTTGAACATGTGAATATTTGACTCAGTAAGAATGAGAGAATTTATTTTAAAGAATAGTCTTATATCAATTCATAAATGCTATAAAGTAATCTTAAATATATACAAATAATATCCATCTATATCTAATGTTAGCATTCACACAGACATACATACATACATACATACATATATATGTGTGTGTATATATATATTGTTTATACGTTATTTATATTTAATGTTTTTTTATATGTTCATATATATATATATATATATATGACGAGGTAATTAAAAATTTTAGACCCAACCCACATCCCAAGATCTGACTAATTAATCAAACAGATTTCTTTTTGGAAAAGCTTCTTGTCCAGACTCAAAAATTTTAATCACCCTCTTATATATTTATAGTTCACAAAATACTTTTCCAATAGACTGAAGGGTCCTGATGTGCTGTCAGTAATATTATATATATATATATATATATATATATACACACACACACACACATACATTTATATATATATATATATGTGTGTGTGTCTGTTACATACAAGATACACATACACACACATATACACACACTTAAATGATTGAATAATATACAATTTATTTTACTTGTAGATTTATGAATATTCATAGGCATACATTTTAAGTATATGTAAAAATGATTATTTGTGTTCTCTGTGTTGATAAACTTGTACTGAATATAATTTACTATTTATAATGATTTTAAAGTGTATGTTTTTATTATTTATAAACTTGTAAATACATATAAACATATTGTAATCATATGTGTACTTGTCTTTTCATCTTCCAAAGTACACTCCCTACATACAGGGTGTGATGGGTAAATTGTCATCATGCTATATTTTTAATTTTGCATATGCACATTGTTTGTTTTTGATTTTGTCAACAATACAGTATAGTAGGGTCAGTTGGGCACCATTTGTCAAAATAGAGCACCATGATGCAATTCACTTCACCAGAAAAAGTTTAATCACAGTACCTTGTCAGTTGCCTTCTATGAAACTTGTATGAATCAGTATTACTTTTGAAATATAGTTATATCTATCTATCTATCTATCTATCTATAGATATATATATATATATGTGTGTGTGTATGTATCTTGAACATATGTAGTTATTTATAAACTTAGCTTAGATTAGCCACAAGCACACGCTGTGAGAATCAAATTCATTAATCATCCACAAGATCAACATTTCACTATGATGTGGTACCATATTTCTCATAGATATTTTTTAATCGTATATACTGTCAATTTCTTTACTAATGTACTTATATTCATAGAAAAATATATGAGTTAAAACATAAAACTATGTTTTCTAGTGCCTATATTTTTGTTTTATACATAAAGTATTTAAGCTCATAAAGGTGTTCATTAATTAAAAATCATTCTTATTTTTTAGGTCAGAGTAAACACTTATGGGCTTGGTAAAAAAGAGTTATAATAGTCATTGCTATTATATTTCTATCAAATCTATACAATATTTGTCCTATATTCTATTAAAGCCCCACCTGATAAATGTAAAAGTCAAATCACAATATGACACACAGTATTTTAATGAAGCTCAAGAAATAACCTCAAACAGTTGTATACATTTTTATATTTTATTGCAATTTACATTTAATTTTGTTGTTTCTATTTCTTTTTAATTTTTTGGCTCTATCTTTTGTTCAAAATTAGAAGGGATTCAATACAGTGAATTATTATATCTATGTATTTTTCTATCTTTGATATCTATCTTTTATCTACCTTCGGTATCTATCTTCTATCTTCGATATCTATCTATTTTCTATCTATGTTCAGTATCTATCTATCTATCTTCGGTATCTATCTATTTTCGGTATTTATCTTTCTATCTTCGATATCTATCTATTTTCTATCTATGTTCAGTATCTATCTATCTATCTATCTTCGGTATCTATCTATTTTCGGTATTTATCTTTCTGTCTTCGGTATCTATCTATCTTTCTATCCATCTCCGGTATCTATCTATCTTTCTATCCATCTCTGGTATCTATCTATCTTTTTATCTATCTTCAGTATCTATCTATATATACATGAGGGAGTACTGAAAAGTTCTAAGTTCAACCAAGAATCCTTTCTAAAAATATTTGATGGTCAAGAACTATTCAGCACCACCCTGTATATAAAGTACACACTAGTATTTTGTTTACTTTGTATACACACACATTTTTATTTTCCATCCCTTTTTTCTTTCCTTACTGTGTTGAATTACGAGACTGAAGAAAATACTTTTGGGTGATTAAGGTTTTATTGAACTCAAAAAGACACAAGATGTAAACAAAGATGGTTATTTTAGAACTCTTCTATGAAGGAGAATAATCCCTTAATAAGGGTACATAACTATAATAATAATAATATTATTTTATCATGCTTACATGTGTCTGTAGAGTTGCCTGTGTGAGCATGTAAGCATACTTTTTCTCTCTGTAGATTTGTGAATAACCTTCACATACATTCAGCGCCTTTGGGCAGAAATTTCTCATTTATGATTATTTGGTTGAAAACCAATAAAAGTTCTTTTTTTTTTTTTTTTTTTTTTTTTTTAAAGTTTTCTTTTTTCTTTCTTTTTTGGTTTAGACCATTTCCCCTCTTTCCAGGTAAATTTTAAACATAAATTGTCTAATGGTTTCTGAAACTCTTTCAAATGTAATCATGTTTATCCAAATCTACTTTTACATAACATGCAATTGAATAAGTGCAGGTAGTGCAACAGTTATTAGCACAGAAAAGGGAATCGGCATGCCTAGTTCAAATTCTGGACTAGTCTACTGCATTCACTTTTGCCTGCGAGAAAGGCATTCATCCATCTCTCCTTCCTTATGATTGCTGGATAGCTTAGATTACCTTGGTAGCAGCCAGTCTAGGAGAACAACAATTCTGAATTTAAAAGCCCTAGAGAAGGCAACAAGAAACCACTTCCATATATTTCCTAAGAAGTCATGGCAACTCACAAATTGTAAAAAAAAAAAATGGAATTTGGGAAGAGCTATGTTTGCTTAGATCCTGAAAGGACATGTCATTAAAACAAATTGAAGATAACTGACAGATTAAATGAAAAAAAGTTTCTCACTTTAAAAAAGCAGTTCTATAAAGCTAAAATAGAAAGAAAGAGAAAAGAAACATCATTTTAATGAAAATTAAAATGTGAAATCTTTTTGTTCTTAATCTGTAATGGCTATAATGTCTAATTTCTAGAATTAAGGATTTTCAATTGAAAATCTTTGTAATTCTAACTTTAAAAGTTCATTAAAATTAACAGGGAGTTTTAGCATTCCTTGTTGTATGAATTGCAAAAGAAAATGAGGATTTTGCATCCAATCTATTTTCATTACAATTTGTGTATATGAGATTGTATTATGTAGATATGTGTTCACAAGCTTTGTTGTATATATATATATATATATATATATATTAAAAGCATTTGTAGATCTACACTAAGTTACATTTCAATAGGCAAGTCAATACTTTCACAACACAATTAGTATTAACTACTTCAACCTCCAATCACCATTTAGTTTATTAACTTTTAATGAAGTTGTCAAAATATAATAAAAGATATGTTGTTAAAAAAATCAAATATCAAATTGTCATAGCCTAGTAGATTTTAAGGGTGCAGTGTAAGGTTCTTCATTATTTCTCAGGGATCAGCGTGGCTAATTAATCTCCACTTCAAGTAAAATATGACATGGTTATATGATACTAAAACAGGGAGTAATTCCCTACATAAATCATTAAGAGAAGTGAATTCATGTCTTTCTCAAGAGTATTTGTACAAAGTGAACACAAACTACTGTAGCTGCAATTTGAACTCATTTTGCAAATTTATTAGACCAACTTTACAAATGTTTATGAAAAAATACATTGGGGGGGGGAATTGTTTATATTTAGGGTCATGAGATTGTGATAGAAAATCTATCTGTAGCCTATGAGAGTTGAAGCTGTTCTTTTTAGGTCAGTGAATAATTCATAGCTTTTAACATTTACAGGGTACTGAAAAGTTCTTGACCCAACACACTTCCCACAATCTAACAAACCTCAAATTTAAAAAAAAACTTTTTTGAGAAACCCTTCTTGGTTGAGTCAGAACTTTTCAACATCCACCTCACATGAAACCATAAAATATTTTCTTAATAAAATTTCCTGATAAGTTAGAAAAATTTTGAAAGTTTGCTCCAGGATATAAAAATACATAGAAAAGGAATTTTCTACAGTAAATAAATATATCTAATTCTATTCTAAGCAAAAAAAAAAAAAAAAGTAAGTTTCTATTTAATGTTATTATAAGTAAACTGTCAATCTGATTCAATATCTCTTTGTCCTTTCCATATATTTCTTTGCTTTTACACTTTTTTATGAATAATAAAATATCAAAACAGTTACATACATAACAAAAGATACTTTCCTGTTCTCATTGACTAAAGAGGTCACAATCTAGAATATTATTTGTGTAAAGAAGTTTATATCAAATACAGAACTGTAAAGTTAGGATCAGGTTATAATAAAGCAAAACAAGCAAATATTTTTTTTATAAAATATGAAGAGAATTAAAATATAAACAACTGTAAATGAAAGCAATGCTACCTTGTGATGTTCAACAAGATACTTAAATGAGTTGAGTTTTTGTGTATCTGTGTGTGTGGTGTTTGCAGGTGTTTACAGGTGTGCCTAATAATTTGGGATGCATTTTCTGAATATTTTATTGTTATTGCTCTTAATTATTGTCATGAACAACTGTGTCAATAATGGTAATATAAAGGTAAATAGTTGTGTTGTATAGTGCAGTTTAATATTACAATATTTATATAGTTTTTAGTATTATCATTCTTGTAATATTAACCATTGATGTTGATATTATTTATGTAAGATAAGCAGTGATCAACATTATCATGTGAAACAGAGATGTAATTAAAAATAGCAATGAATATATATATATGTAAAATGTGTGTGTGTGTGTGTGTGTGCAGGAAGTTTAATGGTCAGTGGCTTGGAATAAGCCAAGTTTGAATTTCAGTCAATTTTGTTATATTCACTTTTGCATAATATACTTGGGAAACATGAATGCCTCTCTCCTCTCCTTGCTATGGGTTATAAATAGTAAGACAGATGGAGTTCTTTAGTCTTGGTTGGCAACCAGTCTTTGAGAAGTACAACTCTGAATTCAAAACTTGAGGAAGGCTGTTTGTGACACACTATGCATACCAGTTTTCTATATTCAATTCTGAAGTGTGGATACACAAATCTTCACCACCGTAATCAAGTCATGTGTGTAAGTAATCAGGTTGTTTAGTTCTTGGAGCTAAACCTTTGGGCCCTCATATGTCAATATGACAATAGAGTCCATCATGTGTGTGTGTATATTTATATATAATATGAGATAACAATATTGGGGAAAAATGTTTGACAAAGTTGAAAAAGTATTCTTGTGATGAGTTTCATTCTTTAGGACTTCATCGGACTGAATTTGTTAGTTGATTAATGTTCAATTCAGCACCTGAACTCCAGAGTTTAGTAAACAAACCTTTTTGTAATCAATTAGTCCACTCATCAGTATGTTTCAGCTATTGACACATCACATATATATATATATATATATATACACACACACACACAGTAAAACTCTTTTTACAGACAATGTTTATCTTGTCCAGGAAAAGGTTATATTAAAAAAATGGACTCAATACACAGTTACAAACAATCAAAAGTGTAGAGCAAGTTAAGATCTAAAATATTACAAACACTAACCTTTTACACTACTGAAGTTTCTACCAATGAAGGTTTTCACAGGCAATATAATTTAATATTTTAGAACTATATATATATATATATATATATATATATATATATATATATATATATATATATATAATAGATTAAAAGTTTAAAGACATATTTCCAAACTCTAATTTTTTACAGAAAATTTTCCTTTCTTCAGGTGTTATATATAACAGTTGATTTTATTAACAGATATATTATCTAGCTTAAAGTACATTATATAGAAAAAGAAGTTTATTTTTACATCAATTTTAAACTTGTTCTTTCTTAAGAATGTTGTTATAATCTAAAAAAAAAAAAGTGTTACACACATGACTGATGATTGCTTAAGGTCTGGAAATGTCAGTCACCATGTAATCATCTGACACTGTATATAAAACTTTTCACATGGGCTGATGATCACTTAAGTTATGAAACTGTACATTATAATGCAAAGATGATGCCTATGTACACACTGTTTATAGCTACAACTGCTCTTTCCCTAGTATTGAGAATTTTTCTCCCATAAATTAAGCAAATTATATACAGGTTGCGATGGATAAATTGTTATTGAAATTATGCAAAAATAAAAATAACATTGACATCTCATTTTAACAGATATATTTATCAGAATTACACAAAAATATCTTGAAATACTAAAGAGTAAATTTATTCAATAAAATTGCCATTGTCTTCAACCACAGCCACCAGATGACTTTGGAATCTCTTGCATCTCTTCTAGATGGTCTCCTTGGTGAATGTCGCCATAATCCTTGCCTTCATCTTTGGTATTACAAGGAGTTTTGTTGGTCTCCTACTCAACTGCATCTCATACATAATAATCAGGTGGGGTTGCAGTCTGGGGAGTTAGGTGGTGATGTGGTTGCACTGAAATATATATAAAATATGTGGATGTGTAGGTGGTGTAACTGATAACAGTTCAGAATGAGAAAACAGAGAGCCAAGTTCAAATTTCAGTCTGAGTTTGTTACATCCACTTACATGTAAATACTCTTGGGAAAGGTATGAATCCATCACCTCACTTTAGTTATAGATTAAATAGTAGAACTTGTAACTGTAATCTCAAAAAAAATTATCAATGCAATATTAACTCACCAAAAAAAAAAAAAAAAAAATGGAATTATTCTTACAATCCAAAATATGTTTCAGCTTTAAATAACTCATAAAGCTGTGAGAAAAAAATACAAATCAAAATCTCAGGATGTATGTTCTTAATATAAAAAGAATCAATTAAATCACTTATTTATTCAGTACTAATTACCATT